CGCTGAATGTCGATCTGTGAGGCGTACCAATCTTTCACGTTTTTAAACGTTATCTTGGGGTCTAAGTCGCGAGCCTTTCATAGAGCGCTTGTACTCCAACGAATCCTGTTTTTGGATTATAGTAGAGTTTTGATAGTAGATCAGCCATGATACATATATGTTATTCAAAACAAAAAAATGTTGCTTGTCAAGGCTTAGCCTAGATAGCTGGTGGAGTTGTGCTAATTCCATCTGAGCGCACTTGTCGTTTATCATGGAAATATGAAATCGCGGTTTTTGTTTGAGAATATGTAATAATGGACTTAGATTCCTTCGATAGTCTAAAACCCTTATTAGTACCCTGAAGTGTGATACGGTCACGAACGACTGTCTCAAACCCGTCAGGATTAAGAACGTCTTCGTTTCGTCCACAACCTTGTTGTACGCCCTTGGCTGAAACCTTTATTTTGTATGTCTCATCCGGTAAGTTGCAAATATAGTTCTTACTCGATACGGAGACTATAGCATCACATGACCATTCATCTTTGAACACACCAGGCGTACGGCGATCAAACTTAGCTACCTCAGTGTTGTAGTCGCGTGGGAACCAATCGTATTTATGCTCATTGAAGTGGGTTCGTAGCTCAGGCTTGATACAGTCTTGAAATGAATTATCACAGCTGAAAGCGATATAAGCCGAATCAGTGTCCATCTCCAGATACTGGAAGTCAGAGCAATCGAAGTAGAAATCTATGCAGTCATAGTAAAACTGAAGCATGCTAGTTTAGCAAGCTGATAGATAGCAATCGACAAATGGATTGGGTTCTTATTATTGAGTCGGCGCTTCTTCATCGTGATTTCATACGCATCATTAACTCCTCGAGACCATGGAACGTAAAGTGTTCGATCTTGTTCTTAATTGCTTTGTCGCTCGACTCATACTTAACCGCTTTGTGCTTGCTCATGTCCACTCCAGATCGACCAAAAGCACTGTTGCCTACCAGTTTCATCATCTCAGCAATCATCGCCTTAGACTTATCAACATCACCCTCTCGTCGAGCATTTGATACAGCCTCCATAAATGGTGCAAATGCCGTGTGAGAGTTGGCCTTGATAAAGCTGTAGGTGTTAGCGATCTCCATACCATGGGAAAGGTAATGGAGTATAGATAAGGATCTTTTCACCAAAATAAGATCCAATGAGCTTACGAGCAGGTTTGGCACGGTTTGAACCACGCGACTGGTTGTAATCAAACATGTGCTTACCAATAACGCTCTCATCCGTACAATGAATCATTACATTTTCGAAGGTAGGGGGCATCTCGCTAAAATACTGTTTTAGGTGCTCCGGCGTTCGAATATCGCACTCAAGAAAACCGAAAATCTTGTCATTCTTGATGTCATCAACGATATCGCCATAGGCTTCAATCGTTGTCAGACGACCACAAGGCATCTCATTACCAAGGGCCTACAGGTACAGAGCGTTAGCGTCGAATCCGATAATTTTCTTGCAATCTTACCTCCACGAATCTTCGTCTCGTTTCGCTTAGCATACCTGTTGAATATAATTGATGGTCAGCCGGCGATGTTAGCCTTCATTTTCCCGTAAATCTCGGATTCCTCCTTGTCAATCGACAACACCAATTTGGCTGCATTAAAATCGAGCGGTTTCTTGTATCTGAACCCCCTAAGAGACATATCCTTTCGAGAGATGTTGCATGAAATGCAGCTGATCAAGATATTACCATCAGTGTGCCCAAGATGGTTATTGATTCTATCAGTGGAAGATGTGTCTGAAGTCAAAGGACTATAACAAAGCCCACAAAGATACTTCTGCTTCTTTAACAGCATATTCAATTGCTCAAGCGTCATACCAAACTCACGCTTCGTCTCAGCATCCTGTCGCTTGTATCCACTCATACGCTTAGGGGGAATTGAAACGCGTTAGCAGGCTTCTTGGTAGGGTATTCGAGATTGTCAAAGCAGGTCCGGTACATAACGTTTCTGAGAGACCCGGCACCGTCGACAATCATATCAAGATCAAAACGTTTGAACAATTCGCGTTGCGATTTGATAGCCTTGATGAACGGTACTACATCGAGAATGTTGTACCACACCAGTAAATCTTTAATAGTCTTCATTCCATAGTACCCCCAAACCCACTTCACTCGCTCGTAGTCTTCGTCAGAGATCTTTGAACCACGAAGCTTGCTATCGAAGGCTGATTTAGCTGGTACTTGATCCTCATTAAGAACATTGAAGGAGTAATGTACTCGTATGGGAATATTTTTTTCCTAGACCACAAACACATCGAATCTTGTCATCACACTTGCAACCGCCTAGATATGTCGTAAGATACCTGTCATAGCTGGTGCCAGCTGGACATAATTGCTAATATCAAGCATTTTCATATCCGACGTGGCAATGCACATGTAGCTAGGGTTCTTGATAACTGAGTTGACGTTGTCAGTACCAATCACAGCGAACAAGCCGCACTTGATTAGGTTAATATCATATTGACCAGAATTGAAGCCGAATACTGGTACCTGATCGAGCTGCTGCTTAATCCTACCATAAGCGGATCTATTCTTGCCAAAGCCAAGGCTGCGGTGGAAGTCAAAGAAGCTGGAATACTTTCCTTCTTTAATCCAGCTATCTACATCATTCCATTTATAGGTCTTACCAAGGTTGGCTCCTGGAATCTCTACACCAGTCAGTCCATAAGTGTTAATGATTTTCCGGAGTAGCGTCTCATACTTCTCGATATTGTACTCATGAATCTCGACAGCTACATCTGCGATGTACTTGAACATATCCGTAAGCAACGCTTTCGGATCAGCATTTACAAAGCAACGAACCGCCTCAGTTAAACTATCAGCTATTGATACTGAAACCGGGGTGTGTTCGTTAGTAAATATAGTGCTTTCACCGTGTTGAACACCTGTCGGCTTAAAGATGGCCTCAAAGTCGTAAACGATGAAATGGTCTATGTAGTGGCCAGCATCCTTGATCGAGTACTTAGTTAGTATGGATCTAATAGTGTTCTGTGGTGTAGTGATTTCTAAGTAATAGCTGAAGTGGCTACATTCAAGTTGCTCAAGCCATGAACGCTCGGTCATGCGACAGGTGGAGACCACGATGCAAGATGACCAAGGATACATCACTACCGA